ATGGCTTACGCCATGAGCCCCAGCAATCGCAGGCATGATCTGAAGAAAACATGTTTGCGCAGCTGGAAAAGAGCGAGACAAGCTCTGAAAGCTTTCACTCTATCCGCTGACAAGCGAGCTGAAAAGGGCACCGAGTTCAGGCGTAAACCCAAGAAGAGTATAGTCTGCGCGGGGCACAACATGCTCTTCTCTGTGTTTATTATGAAACCCAGGTTGAGCAGGTGCTTTACGAGGACATTTGTCTGCGTAACAGCCTCCTGCTCCGACTGTGTGAGAAGCAGCCAGTCGTCTAGGTAGGTCGCCAGGTGAATACCCTGTTGTCTTAACGGGGCTATCGCGGCTTCCGTACATCGTACAAACACCCTTGGACTGAGAGACAGACCGAAGGGGAGTACTCTGTTTTCATAACAGATCCCCCTGAAATGCGAATCTCAGATATTTCCTGTGTTGGTAATATACTGGGATGTGAAAATAATTATCTTTCAGGTCGACTGATGTAAACCAGTCGTCTTGTCGCACGAGCCGCAGCAGAGATGTGTGAGCGAGCATTCTGAACTTATATCTTTTTAGATATTTGTTCAGAGCCGTCAAATCAAGTATTGGCCGAATTCCGTTCCCTCCCCGTTTGGGAACGAGGAAGTACTTGGAATAGAAGCCGCCCTGACTCTGCTCGGCGGGTACAATATAGCCCTCTTTTCTAGGAGTGAGAGAATCTCTCTCTCCAGAATATGGGCTGACTCTCCTCGGGCCTGCGAATGCAGAATGCCCGAGAAGCGAGGGGGGGTGACAGCAAATTGGAGTCTGTAGCCCCGTGTTACTGTCTTGAAAACCCAAGCAGATGATGTGAGCATCTTCCACTGCATGCTCCTTAGAGCCAGTGGAGATGTCACGTCTCTTCCCCTCTGAGTCTCTATTTGTTGTGTTATGGGGCCCTCTAGTGTCTGAACACAGTGGTGCCCCTTTTCGACAATCCCCACCGACACTGCGCATGCGCATGACGTGGTGCCTTCACAACCCCAGCCGGCACTGCGCATGCGCGTACGGTGGTGCCTTTAAAGCCCCAGCCGGCACTGCGCATGCGCGTGGCGGTGGTGCCTTCACAGACCCGCCTGTAATCCGCCTTTTGAGAGATGCCGTAGCTGCTCTCAGAAGGGGAACAGTTGACGGGCTGTTTATTGGTTTTATTGTTTTTCTTTTCATTTTTTTTTTGAGCTGCGCCCTCGGCCTGAAGCCTGGATGCGTCAGCGGCAAATGTTTTATGACAGAAAAATCAACAAATGTGTGACATGTGTTTGTGTGGACTTGAGGATGGTGTTGAGGCATCTCTCGAGGCGGCGGGAACACATTTAGAGCTGGGGAACCGTGGACTTCCATCCTGTCACAGAGGGGAGAAGGAGGGGCTGTCACGCCACTCGCTTCTTCTTCCTCGACTGCTGGCCGAAATTCTGGGTTGGCTGCGCCTGAGGTGCAGCCGGAACCGGAGATTTTCTAGGCCAGCTCGCCCTCGTCTCCAGCCTGGGCTGGGGACTCGGGGCGGGCTGCGACCTCTGCGTCTTCGGTGTTTTAAACCGAGCAGGGTTCGAGGCAGCTTGGGCGAAGAACTGCTGCTACGAAGGACTGCTGCTGCGAAGGCAGCGGCTGGACCCTTCGAGGGAGGCAGAGGTGGAGTGCCTCGTCCTCCTTCTTTTTCGACTCACACCTCCTTTGCATGAAGGCGAGAGCGGAGCCGAAAATTCCCTCGGGAACGATGGGCATATCCAGCACATCCTCCTTTTCCCGGTCTGGGAGGTTGGTGAGGTTGAGCCATCTCGCTCTTTCCTGCACCACCATGATCCCCATTGCCTTACCCGTGGCCTGGACGGCGCAGCGTTGGACACGGAGACAAATGTCCGTGACCGCTGCCATCTCGTCCAGAGTGGCTGCCCCCGGGTTACCCGACAGGTCCTCGTAGAGCTCCGCTTGGTAAGCGGTTAGCAGCGAGGACACATTCAGGGCCCTGGCGGACAACGCTGCGGCTTTGTAGGACCGTTCAGTCATTGTCGACTGAAATCGGTCCGACTTTGCTGGCAGCGTGGGGTTCCTGCTTGGTGACGGCCCATCCTCGGTAGGAGGTGGGCCGCTACCAGCGGTTCCATGGGCGGTATGGGGAGCAGGCCGAGCTTCTCCATTCCGTTACAGTCTAGGGAGGAGGCACCCTGGATTGGGACCTTGTTACTGAAGGGCCGGTCTCTCCACAAGACCGACACCTCATCCAACATCTCCGGGAAGACCGGAAGGAGTTGCCTCTTCGTCCGCGCTGCTTGGGGAAAATGTTTCCCTTCGTAGCGGACCTGGAGGTCTCCTTGGCCATTTCAGGCCACGGGATGTCGAGTCTGGCCGCGGCGCGTTTACACACGGCCTGCAGGTCCATGCTCAGACAGGGCGAGGCTGGTGTGCTATCGCCCGGGAGAGCAGCCTGAGCCGATGACATAAAGATGTCCTCTTCATGTTCATGCGACTCGGACAGGAGGAACACCGAGGCGTCCTCTTCGTCCTCATCGTAGTCCAGCTCGAGGACATCCTCCGCGGGTGAGACCATGGTGAGGTCTAACCGGGAGCCCCAGCTCGGTAAAGCGTGGGGTCCCGTTCCCGCGTGTCTTGCCGTCACCGGGTCCCAGCCTGCCAGGGCGCGGGATTCCGGTTCTGCAGCCATCGCAGATAATGAGCCCCAGACCGACACGGAGAGGGTTCACTCTCTGCGGCGGACGCCCCCGTCTTGACTGCCGGCCGGCAGGTCAGTGGACATGGGGGGGTCCTGCTCCGACAGGCTATCTTGGCCTGCTAGCCTACGGCGGAGGCTCTTCACGGTGAAGCGGACACAATGTCCGCACGAGCCGGGGTTGTCGATAGCGCCTCGGGCGTGTTCCAGCCCGAGGCAGGACGAGCAGACCTGGTGTGTGTCTGTGCCCGAGATCTTCAACCCGCAGCCGCAGAGTCGAGCCACCGAGTCGAGCCACCGAGTCCCTGACTCCTCTGGTGTGAGGGAGAGAGGCGTCCATCTTGTTCGCCTCGTGGCGTGGGAAGGACAGGTAAGTTGGGAGAAAAAAGGTGTTACCACCCTGTCCTTAATCCGGAGAAAAGGACGGTGTGGGTCTTTTATTCCCGGAGAATACTGACTGGTGTGACAGTATGCTCCATTAATCCTTCCTCCTCCTCCGTGGGGGAGAGAAAAGAAAAAGCTTCCTCGCTACCGTGGTGTCGATATTGAGGGAGCGAGCTAGCAACAGGTGTGTTGTTAGCTTGAAAAAATCAGACCTACCTTACTTTCCGGGGAAAGAGAACGGTGAGGTCGATTTCAATACTAACTGGCGTTAGTATTACCGTCTTCCTGCAAAGCATAAGGAGTAGCCGGCGAGCGCCCGTCGACCGAAATGGTTATATTTGGGTTCAGTCTGTGGACCGTTAAGCTTGTCCGGCTACTATAGAGATGTGCTCTGAAGCGAGAAGAGGTGAATGACGCATGCGTCATGGCGCAAGCTACTTATAGGGGGTGAATTCCCTGACGCTGACGTCAATATCACCAGCCAATCAGGATTGGCGTAATGAGATTGATGCTTCTGTTTGCTCCGCGATGAGGCGCATCCCATAGTGAGACATCGAACGGAGTGTTATGAATGAGAACTTTACAGCGGCCGCTGCCACGAGTTAACGGGAGAATAAACTCCGGTAGACGAGCACTGCAGCAGGCAGTAATGCAGCTGAACCACATTAATAAACAATACACCACGGCACTCTGGAGAAAGGTACAAGGTTGGAGAAGTAGTTCTCTAATTTAATCTGGCATCGTATAATTAAAAAGGTAACACTTTACAATAAGGTACACAAAATGTGCTTAGTTACTGCTTAGTTACTGAGGAACTACTAGATAGTTAATGGTTAGTTAATGAGTAGTTCCTCAGTGACTGCGATTGAGGAACTGATGGTTAGTTACTGGTAAACAGACTGGGGGTACTGTATTAACGAATCATTCGTTAATGGTTAGTTAATGAGTAGTTCCTCAGTGAACTTATGGTTAGTTACTGGTAAACAGACGGGGGGGTACTGTATTAACGAATCATTCGTTAATGGTTACTTAATGAGTAGTTCCTCAGTGACTGCGATGGATGGTTAGTTAGTTACTGGTAAACAGACTGGGGTACTGTATTAATGAATCATTCGTTAATGGTTACTTAATGAGGAGTTCCTGAGTGAACTAATGCTTAGTTACTGGTAAACAGACTGGGGTACTGTATTAATGAATCATTCGTTAATGGTTACTTTATGAGGAGTTCCTGGGAGACTTTGATTGAAGCAATGGTCCGCTGCAGCAGGGCACATTTAAACCTGCCATCTTCGGCTGGCTTGGGTCCCACCCTGGATCAACTGGTGGAGGTGGATCCAATTTACCTTACCATTACTTAGGCTTGGCCGTTTGGGTATGGTAAACTCATGGAACGCAAACAAAAACAGTAGTTACCCATTACCTAATGATTACCTTACCGTTACTAAAACAGTAGTTACCCATTAAGTAATGCTTACCTTACCATTCGTTAAGCAGTGTGTGTCCCCTCAAGTAAAGTAATGCATGAAAAACAGTAGTTACCCATTACCTAATGCCTACTTAACCATTCGTTAAGCATTGTGTGTCCCCTCAAGTAAAGTAATGCATCAAAAACAGTAGTTACCCATTACCTAATGCCTACTTAACCATTCGTTAAGCATTGTGTGTCCCCTCAAGTAAAGTAATGCATCAAAAACAGTAGTTACCCATTACCTAATGATTACCTCACCATTAGTTAAGCAGTTTAACAAACAAACAAACACTGTTGATGACAATGACGGATCTACAGCCACTGAAGTTTTACATTTTTATTCAAACAACGATGAACATAACAACAACAACAAAAAAATGGAAATAAAAAATACTTTTTGTAAAAGAAAACTAAAAACAACAATTGCAAACCAAAAAAACATCCATTCCTTCCTCACTTCCCCTTTGGATTAATGGATAATAGTCCTCCATTGGTCTTCAAGTCCTGGACCTTCCCCTCTAAATGTTGGTCCTTTATGGCAGCTTTACACATCTCAGTGAAACGGAGAAGGGTTTCCCCCTTCTTCAGTGTTCCCCGGATATCTTGGTAGATTCCCGGGTTCACGGCATGCAGTTCTGCAATTCCTGCAGTGTCGGCAATGGTTTTGCGGTCCACTCCTACCGCTCTGTAAGCCGCCGTTTTATTATTCCCCTTGTTTACCGCCTCAAGAACACGCTTGTAGCGGCTTATGGCGTCTTCTGGGGTCAGGACTGAAACAGAAAAAAAGACAAATATGTAACTATTTAATAACAGTACTTTGTTGTTGCCTATCCTAATGATGTCTGTAGTGCAGAAATCAGTTTGGATATGGGTTTATTTATTGATAATATTGTTGTACTAGTGTTATATAGTGGTAGTGTAATCCTTACATACAAAATTGTGTAATGAATTGGTGTAGTGTAAAGGTATTACTAGTCGTGTAGCTTTGCTCAAAGTAATGTATGTATACATGTTAGTTATTGTGTTTGGGGTGTGTACCTTTATATACAGAAGTTAGGTTTGGGCAATCAGCTCTACTTTTATCCAATCATGTTTAATAATGATAACTGATAAGACGATCCACAATGTGGATTTAACGCTCTATCGACATTGCCCCGTTTCTAATTTATAACGCATCAATATTGCCAAGTTTTAGCCTGGCATCCTCATGTCTCAGCAGCCTTTAAATGGAACAGTTTGGAGAATCTGCTCTCCCTGTTCTTTTATTAAAATCTGACACTGCAGGTTAATGTAAGCGTGCAGAGACCAGTTGTTTGGCAACACTGGTGTCGCTCTGAACAGAGCGACATCACAGCATGTTCTGTTTAACATTATAGGCCTACTTATATTCAGGGATGCAAACACCCGTATGGTGAAATAAGAGAGAACTATTAGAAACAGAAAAAACAGCGTAATATACCATCTGACAAAGGCCTGCGCTATAATGCGTCAATTAACTAACTGGCTATTCTTTATAATATACGGATAGGAGACAGAGATGTTTACTCTTAAAAATGCTGGGTTATTTCTATAAACACATTGTTGGGTTGATTTGGCTGGGTCATAATTATGGGTTATTTGGGTACTGTAAACACACTGGTGGGTTGTTCATGCTGGGTCAAAGGGGTTATTAGGGCTTCAATTGCAGTTGAACACCCGCCTGGGTTATTTTTAACCCAGAGGTTGCTTTATTCATTTTCCCACTTCTGAATCATTCTGGAATCATCTTTTTCAAAACACAAGGTATGTAACCTATATTTTACCTATATTTATATAATTACAATTCTGTAACCTATATTTTTTTAATGAGTTGTGATAACAGTTCAATAGGGATCTTTAGGCATTTAACAGACTGTGCAAAGTATAACATTAGCAGTTAACGTCGGCTACAAATGTTTTACATTTCTGTCAATGAGTGAAAGAGCCTTGAATTTACGTTGTGATGCTATGAATTATTATTTTACAAAGACGTGTGTTCTACTAGTAGCTATAAATGGGTCTGAACTATAGCTTTGGATTTGTGTGCAAAAGTATTAGATGTACAATAAGGCAGTATAAATCAGATGGCTTTTACGTCACAACTCTCTTTCCCAGCATGCAGCTCGGGCGCGGGCTTTCACACACACGGACAGACAGACAGACGACAAAGAAGCTCATTGATGTAGGTAAGTTTAGGTTACTAGAGTTATTTATTAATTACATTAATCATTAAAGTTAGCAACTTTTGAAGTTATTTTTAGGAGTGAGTGACCGGAGTCACCGAACCACATAATGTAACATTTTAGTTCCCTGCCATCGACGTGTTACCATAGGTTAGCTTAGCTTAGCATAGCACACCAACCAGCTAGCTAGCTAGGTCGTGTCAGGGGCAAATAATAATTCGTGAATGATTAAAATGTCTTCATGGAGAGATTTGGCAGACCCCCTGTAGTAACTGTACATTAGTAGCTTGGTACCTTACAATAAATGTTAAAACATTGCACAGTTTTGTGAAATTCTAATGTACTTAATCTCATTTGATTCTAGTAGAGGGTTTCACCATGGACACGTTTGTCACAGAGACGTTGACTGCATGGCAGCTTGAGAACTTGATTGACACATTTAAAGGTAAGTTAATTTTTATTGAGACAATGTTGAGATGTTACTATTAAATATTTTGTTATATATTAAAAAGAGCAAGGTAGGGCTGCAACAAACAACTAATTTGATAATCGATTAATCTATCGATTAATGAAACGATTAATCGACTATTCGGACTATTACTGTATGCTTTGCACAATTTTTCAAACGCTCTTATTTAGCCATCAACTTTTAGATGTAGCTTGAGCTTGTTTTAGGCATGTGAAAACTAACAAGACAATAAAGATGAATACTTGATTCAAAAATACATATATTATTAAATTAACTAAACACATTTTGAACAAAATTAACATTGCTTTTAATTTAAATTAAATAAATAATATTTCACATCAAAAGAAACAACAGTGTTTTAACAAATGGTATTAAATAATGTGATGACAGAACTGTAAACAGAATAGGTGAAACTTTAACAAACTAAATAACTCAGTTTCCTCTAATAAATAAAATAGCTTTTGAAAATATGTGCATCTTAAAGTGCTTAATTTTAGATAAATAAAATAAAGTGTAGCAGCAGCTTGAGTTTCTCTTTTTCTTTGTTAACCGTTTCACATCATGACTTAACAGTTTCAGCCGATTATAGAACAATATCAGTCTTTACATCATAACAATAGAACAGTTTTAAAGTTTATTTTTCTTTCCCTCTTATATTGCAGTCCCTCACTCACTTTTTTTAAATTCAGTGCTAGAATTGAGCTGGAGCTTGTCCTGCCAGGAGTTTGTAAATCTGGGCTGAAATGGAGTCAGGGCCATTCTCATACACATGCAGGTGCTCATTGGTTACAGTGATGCAAACACAGGTATGGTGAAAAAAGAGAGAACTATTCGAAGCAGGAAAAAAACAGCGTAATATACCATCTGACAAAGGCCTGCGCTATAATGCTTCAATTAACTGCTATTCTTTATAATATACTCAGATCAATAGGAGACAGAGATGTTAAGTTATACATCAAGGGTTTTATTATTATCTACAGCAGGGGGGGGAACATCCTCCAAGGGCCGTACAAATGATTGAACTCAACCTCTGCTTAAAAAAACTAAAATCACAGCCCATTCATTTGGCCTTTCTTTCATGCTGTGCAAAGAAAAAGCAACCAATCCAAATGTATTTAGTATCCTATCCATGTGAACATGATTTAAGTGGGGGGGGACCTCACCTCCTCTAGGGGGGTCCGGGGGCATGTTCCCCCGGGAAGATTTTTTTTTTAAATATTGAAGTTAAAAGCATCAATCTGGCCTACATCTGGTCCCACAATTGTAACCACATTTACAATCTTTATGATTTTCATTTTTGAATTTCAGACCAGGAAGTTGATGAGGAAAGTTTCCGCCTGCTGGATGCCATTGCCATTGCCTCGCTAATACCGAAAATTGGACACCGTGTCAAATTCCAGAAATGTCACAAGGAACTTGTGAGTAAAGGGTTTGTTTTTATCTGAAGTGGCAGATAAGTTTTCTTCTCTGCTCCATCCACTTATTTGTTTCACACCTTTCCTTGCCCTTTAAGAAGTGTCAGCTACAGTAGTTAATGATGGCATATACATGCTTCCGCTGCAGACAAGTGATACCCGGTGAAGCTAAGGGTCTGTTTGTTCATTTGAGGGCAGTGCATGGCATGAATAGTGCTTCAACATTCTGGCAGTGCCACGAACATGGTTGCAGGCGTTCTTTTGGGTATGTGCGGTCTTTCAGAAGACACCTTGTGCAGCATTATGTCCCAGACCATTATCATGGCACTGAACAGCATTCCAGGGGGGCCTCAAGAGCATCCATTTCAGTTCCCATGAATGTAGACAATTCTGATCTTGTAGAGGTCCAAATGAACATGATGGTTACTGGGATGACTTGGAACCAGAAACCATAACCGAGCGAATAGCTCTGTTTTTGGCAACCCTTAAGGCTAAATCGGCACAGACCTACAGTACAGTACGTTTTGTTGTGCAACAAACATCTAGTTTGGTTTCGGACATTGTCAGTTCACTCCAGAGGAAGACAATGTATCTGTTTGAGAAATGTGGTCATAGTGATGAACCCGGGGTAAAGGAACTGGCCCATGATTTTGAGGCAGCAGCTAATCCATTCGAAGGGTTTGAATCAGAATTCAAACAGATGCAGTATTTTGTCAAGTCAGGCAACTTCATTGACCCTGTAGAGGAGGCGTTCACTGGAGAGTCCTTTGTGCAGAGAAGGGCCTCTGCTACTGGGACAGTTAGACAGGTTTTACTGCAAGATACGTTTTATCGTGTCCCCCTGAAACCTCTCTTGCTTAAAGTGCTTGAGATCCCTGGCATTTTGGATGCCATCTTTGCCTGGCAGCAAAGAGAAGATGGAGTCCTTTCAGACTTCTATGATGGGGAATACTGTAAGCAGCATCCTCTCTTCTCCAGGGAAGTGTCTGTTCCACTTCTGTTGTACAACGATGACTGTGAAACAGTCAACCCACTGGGATCAAAAGTTGCAGTGCACAAGTTGGGGTTCATTTACTTGGTCATCAAGAGTTTGCCCCCAGCGTTTTTATCAAAACTCTCATCACACTTTCTGGTGGCAGTTTACAAAGTGGATGATGCCAAAACCTATGGGATTGATAGTGTTCTGCGCCCAGTCATAGAGGAACTGAAGGATCTTGAGGTCAATGGGATCTCTCTCGACACACCTCACTTTAAGGGTGAAATGAGATTTTCAGTTGCCCAGTTGTGTGGGGACAATCTCGGCTTGAATGCCATTCTTGGATTTACTGAGTGATTCTCCAGTAATTATTTTTGTCGCCTCTGCAAGGCACACAAGACCACAACAAAGACACAGACAAAAGAGGATGCATCCCTGATCAGAAATGAGGCAAATTATACTGCAGATGTTAGTCATAATAGCCTGTCAGATACTGGTGTCAAGAGAGACAGTATTCTGAATAATGTATCCAACTTTAATGTGACACACAACAAGGTTTTGGATATTATGCATGACTTGTTGGAAGGGGTAGGTCCATTTGAACTGAAGTTGGTTCTCTCGCCTCCTTGATTGAGGACAAACACCTTACCCTTGACACGCTCAACTTCAGAATCACCAGTTTTGATTATGGCTTTTCTGATGTCAAGAA